GTCTTTTATGGGACTTCACCCCTCCCACACGCACAAAAATACCATGTAGGAATAACTAGATTCTGAGAAAAATGACTGGGTGGTCGCAAACGCAAACCTATTCCGGGCGCTTCCCTCTTTCAAAAAAAAAAAAAAAAAAGGCGTGTGAAAAAGTCATCCGAGAAGCAATTTAAACTTGTTGGCATTTTGAAGTTATGCCAACCTCATAAACTTCAAGTCGTGACATTAAGTAGGAAGTTGGATACAGGAAATATTTACCAGTCCTGTGGGCATGATAAACATAGATTACTATTCCAGAAGAATATTTCCTATTTTTAACAGGGAAAACATAATCCTAGAATGGTTTTTTTAGCCGATAATAAATCTTATTGGTTTGGGGGGACCGGAGGGATAGATAATTCTCTCTCTCTTCTTTTGCTGCTTCCTCTCGTTTTTCATTCTCTTTTTCTTCTCTCCCCTCTTTTTTTTTAATATTTGGGGGCAGAGGGGGGCACATTTATATTGGCCAGAAGGATTCTAGGATTCAGAAGCCTAGTTAATGTTTGAACAGGGGAATCCTAAAGTAAACACACAGTTGTGAGGATTTAATGAACAGATCCTGGTTATATTCTTATTCACTGGTGAAAGCAATTCTGTTTGGAAGAGTTTGGGGTAAAAAGGAAACCAGGCCACTAAAGAACACGGTCTGGCTGGACACCATCAATGCTGGCATCAGCCAGAGCGTTGAAAAAAGCTCAGTCCTCGACTTACGAACACAATTTTTACTTGCATTTTTTGCCCGTTTCGGATTGCCACGGACCCTCAGACTAGTATTTCTATGGGGGAAAAAAAAAAGATTCCTGAAAGGAAATTGGGTGTCCTCTTGAACCAGCCCCATAGATTTCCTGACACTGAGGACAATTAACCAGTGGAACCACCTGCCTCCAGAAGTTGTGGATGCTCCAACACTGGAAGTTTTTAAGAAGAGATTGGATAGCCATTTGTCTGAAATGGTGTAGGGTTTCCTGTCTGAGCAGGGGGTTGGACTAGATGACTTCCAAGGTCCCTTCCATCTCATTTGTTTGTTTGTTTAAATATTTTCAGCTAAGTGAGATGGTGGACCCCTCGACCCATTCCTGTTTTTGCCAGGGTGATCTTTCTCTGCGCCGTCATTTATCACGTCCCAAGGTGATTGGCTGTATTAAATCCTTTCTGGGTTTGCTAATTTTTCCGCCCCCTCCCACTCTTCATAGCTGCAGATCTAATTAATCTGGCCGCTCCTCCTCCTTTAATGAAGGTGCTAAATAGGTGCCATCTTCTCCGCCACGGATTAATGATTCCTGCACCCGCCCCAAATCTGTTGTTTTTCTTCACCTTGATCTCAAGTCAGCAAACCCGTTTACGAACCACTGAATGCAATTTTAGGAAGACATTCTAATCAGCGTGTTCATTAACACGGTGCTATGGGTACCCCATTGTTTTTACTGTTTCTAGTTCTCTTGTTTAATATTTGCATAAGAAAATGTAACGCCCTAGACTCAATTATTTTGTTTCAGTGAAGTCTCAGGGGGCTCAGTTTTTATCTTCACATAAATCAGCAATGGTGGGTGTAAATTGACAATAAAAACTAGGCTGATTTTTCTGGCCCTTGGTTTTTCCCTTGGTTACTGCTGCAAACGGTTGGAAACGTAATTCCCTGATTAGATATGAAAAAATCCGAGGTATTTTTTTTATTTCACTTGCAAACTAAAATCTAGTTTCCAAGGCCGATAGGCTTATCTTAAGCTCCTGTGTTGACTTAAGAGTTGGGTCACGGAGATTTCTGCTCACTTCTGCCTCTGTGTTGACCTTCACAGTGGCAATAAGTCATAACAACTCCTTGCAAAAGGAGTAACATACAAAGGTAATGAATAGACCTGATGCAGAGCTGAGTAAAAGTTGCTCCGTACAGATCTGGTTGTTTTAAAATTCCTACGCAGCCATTCTTGAAGTCTTTGGTTTTAATCCTTTGGAAGTAGTTAGCTAAACTTATCTAAGCATGAAGCTCTGGCCCAAATCAAACTTAATGCCATTTTAAATCAGCTTTCTGGGAAGACACATTTTTAGGCTTCCATGAAAGGAAAGCAAGAAGAGCCAATGTTCACAATGCATGCAAGAGTTTGATCTCCTCTCGGCACACTTTTAGATATTTCTTAACCTTTAGTTCTAACACAGCTGTTTGCAGAGAACAAAACAGAGGATAAACTATTGGATGAAAAGAAAGAAAGAGAGAGAGAGAGAGAGAGAGAGAGAGAGAGGAAGGAAGGAAAGAAAGAAAAAAAGAAAAAAAGAAAAAGGAGAGGAAGGAAGGAGAAAGAGAAAAAAGGAAGAAAGAAAGGGAGAAAAAGAAAGAAGGAGATAAAGAAAAAGAAAGAAAGGAAGGAAGGAGAGAAAGAGGAAGGAGAAAGAAAAAAGAAAGGGAGAAAGAAAGAAAAAGAAAGGAAGGAGAGAAAGAAAAAGAAAGAAAGAAAGAAAGGGAGAAAGAAAAAGAAAAAGGAAGGAGAAAGAAAAAAGGAAGAAAAAGAAGGAGAAAGAGAAAGAAAAAGGAGAGAAAGAAAAAGAAAAAAAAAGGAGAGAAAGAAAAAAGGAAGAAAGAGAAAAAGGAGAGAAAGAAAAAGGAAGGAAGGAGAAAGAGAAAAAAGGAAGAAAGGAGAGAAAGAAAAAGAAAAAGGATGAAGGAGAAAAAGAAAAAGGAAGAAAAAGGAGAAAGAGAAAAAGGAGAGAAAGAAGAAGGAAGGAGAGAGAAAAGAAAAAGAAAAGAAAGGAAGGAGAGAGAAAAAAGGAAGAAAGAAAAAGAAAGAAAAAGGAGAGAAAGAAAAAGGAAGGAAGGAGAAAGAAAGAGAAAAAAGGAAGAAAGGAGAGAAAGAAAAAGAAAGAAAGGATGAAGGAGAAAAAGAAGAAGGAAGGAGAGAAAGGAAGGAAGAAAAAGAAAGAACACACACACACACACACACACACGGTGGCTTAATGAATATGAATAATGACCTGAGCATAAATCTATAGGGGTGTGTGTGTGTGTGTGTGTGTGTTTATCCGAACAGAAGAGGCATAATATTTCCAGTCTCCAAACAATACAGTTGCAATAGTGCCATCTGCTGCGTGTTTTAAACAACATCTGGGCTCTCGGAGGCCTTTGAGAGCTTCCACTTGAATGAAGAAACCCTTCTCTCTCCTTGGAGGCCAGGACTGACCCTCCCGGCCAGCAGTTGATCCGCTCTTTTGTCCTCTGCAAACAGATGTTGTCAGAACTAAAGGCAGGAAATACGGTGCCTTTTCGGGGTGACCCAACAATGCTGTTCGACTGCAGAGGATTCCCACGATTGGCAGATACTCTCCTGAGATATTACTCACCACTTCATTTATTTACTTACTCCGTTTATACAGCCACCCGTCTCAAATACACGACCCTCGACGTACAACCGTTCATTTAGCGACCGTTCAAAGTCACAGCAGCGCTGAAAAGAGTGGCTCGTGAGCGTTTTTCACACTTACGACCGTTGCAGCCTCCCCCTGGTCACGTGATCAAAACCCGGCCGCTTGTCAACCGACTGGTATTTATGACGGTTGCAGCGTCCCCCGGGGTCACGCGATCCCCTTTTGCGACCTTTTTACAATTAAGTCAGTGGGGAAAGCCGGATTCACTTAACAACCGTGTTACTCGTTGAACAACGGCAGTCTTCCACTTAACAATTGCAGCGAGAAAGGTCGTAAAATGGGACGAGACTCCCTTAACAACAGAAACGTTGGATTTCATTGTGGTCATAAGTTGAGAACCCTCCTGCTTGTGTTCCCCTCTCAGTCACAAAATATTTGCTAGCCAAGCTGTTGCTAGGGTTTGGGCTGTGCGGTAACACATTCAAGCTAATATTCTTGAGTTATCCCTAGAAAGTAGGAAAGTGATGACCGTATTAACTTGGATTCCTGAGGCAGAACTGATCCCCATGGACATTCATGGAACCAGCTTCCACTCTTACTCTTGCTTTTACTATATAATGAGCCTTTTCTTTGCGGTGCTTAATTATCTGCAAGTGAGGAAAGTTTATTTTCTATCCCTCTACGCATCCAATATTCTAGGTGGGTTGAATTCTACTATGAATAGAAATTGTCGGTGTCACAGCCCACCGTATAAGTCTACACATCGAAGGGAAGACCTACACAAGCAAGTTTTTCAAAGCTCTTCCCTGGAGAAACCAATTGTGGTTTCTCTGGATTGTGGACCCAGATTTAAGCCCACCTTCAACAATGTCTGTGGAGATTCTCCGTCATTCCCGGTCACGGTTGTCCCAAAGGTGCTTTTTCAAGAGGCAACTGGACTTCCTTTGTTTTTCCTTGAAGACGTTTCGCTTCCCATCCCAGAAGCTTCTTCAGTTCTGACTGATCGGTGGTCCACCATTCGGTCAGAACTGAAGGAGCTCTTTGGATGAGAAGGGAAATATCTTCAAGGAAGAACAAAGTCCAGTATCCCAAAAGCACCTTTGGGACACCTTCAACCATGCGACCTCTCTGGGGGATTTTGGCCCACTCATGTCTGAGCTGCAATAACCCACTTGGTGCCTCTTCGTTCTGTTCTGTTGGCCAACTGCCTACAGGTCTGTGACTAAAAGGGGTAGCCTTCATTTTTAAAATCCCTTGTCTTCTGGGAAGCTCCAGTACTTTATTTTTGAGATTCTCCAGAATTGGGGTGCGGCGTTTCCTTCATTCGATACTTGGACGTCTTTAAAAGAACAGATCCTGTTCTGTGTTGGACAGGACCCTTCCTTTGGGGAGGTGAGCATAGATAAGAAATGTTGGATTAAGATGTTCCTTGAACACAAAACCCAAGGACCTTCTTGGACAGCTCTTGAGGGACAATCCTACAGTCTGAATGTAGGCCCTTGGATTATCGGTGAAGCAAGATCTGTTCCCAATGGCTAAAACTCTCCTTACACTTCTGATCATCCTTTAATTCCAGATATTGTTTCGGGGATGAAAAAGTAGAAGTAACCTTATTGATGGACACAACAGCCGGCCTTCCCATGGATTCTGCTCCTTCTCCAGTTTCTGCTGATGTTGTCTCCTCTCCAAATGACGACATCTGCAATCTGGAAAGTATGACTTTCCCAGAAAAATTTGCCTGGGGCTCAGCTACAGCAGCATATCAGATTGAAGGTAAATGATTTTTTTAAAAAAAGAAAAAAATAATAACTTTTTTAAATTTGATGTTCTCTTTCGTTTTTACTTCCAGTTATAATAGACAAAAGCATATGCTGCATGGTGTAAGATACGTTTGTGTTTCTCGTAAACAATTCATTTGGTGCTCCTTGTATTAAAATTCTTGTGTCTGGTGCCTACAGACATATTGTTAATCTTTGGATCTGTTAACCTGAGACTATTCTGTTAGACTTAGTGAATTATTTTGAATAGCCTTTTTAGTGTTACAATTCATGTATTTTTGCAACACTATTTAAAAAATGTTTTTAAGTATCTTTCAGTAAGGAACGTTTTCTGAAATGTGCCGGGCTGAATAAATACTATTTTACTGGAACTTGGGATTCCTCGTTCTCTCCTCCTTCAAAACATTGCATTATAGACTTCTCCTTGATATCTTATTAAAAAAAACATGGAAGCATTGGCTGCTAAAGTAAAATAAATCCCAAGAATTATATTTCTAAAATGTGCCAAATAGTCCTGCTTTATCTTTTTTTTTAATTTTCAATTTAGTTGATCGCAAGTAAGTAAAAGTTTGAAACATCATATAGCTTTGTCTGGGAAGAAATTGAATTGATATCAAACTTAGGAAACTTTTCCACTGATAAAACGGGCTCGCCGAGAATTATTGAATTAAAAGAAAATGGCAAATTTGAGGGGTGCTCAAAGAATATTGATGTGATTAATTGACATCCTTTAACTTCCTTTGAGGATGATCATACATGAAAGTTCAATATGTGAGATAAACCTGGATAGATAGACCAGGGCACCTGGGCGATGATAACACATTGCTGGAGGCACATGGGACATGCCTCAATGTCTCTCTCTCTTTTTTTTAACAGTAATTGTGTTAAAGATTAGTGTTACCCCAACAAAAACAAATGCAAACTGGAAAAATACAGAAGAATAACAAAGAAAGTGTAGAAGGTGCAGGAAAGAAAGGGGAAAAATAGAGAAAGAGAAAAGAATGAAAACTAAAACCACAGTAAAGAAAAAGAAAAGGGTTAGGGCAGGGGTAGGCAACCTTGGCTGGCTCAGGAATTCTGGGAGTTGAAGTCCACGAGTCATAAAAGAGCCAAGGTTGCCTACCCCTGGGTTAGGGTTGGGTTATAAATAAGTGACTTTCAACCTTCATCCCAAGTATAAGGTTTTTCAGTCAGCTATGACCTCCTCTTAAAATACAACAAAAACATACTTTTCCTTATCTATAAACTAATCCATAAAGCACCATCATTTCAATCCCGGTGTCAGCAAAAGCCCATTAAGGGTTACATACAAATGCATACATGTTTTTAACCTTGTTCAAATAAAACAAATTATATTTCTTCCTTTTATTTTTAACTTAATCTTTAATCGAATAATATTGTAAAACTTGATTTCTTTTTTTCTTAGTTCCTTCTCACGAGACTTTGCAAAAAAAATAATAATAATTGTCTTTAGTAAATCCAGTATGAGAAGATTGTTCTCTTAGTTTACTGTTTGTATATCCCTTTTAATTGTTAAGACAACATCCGGCTTCTTTTATCCGTCCAGTGTAACATACATTTTGTGACATATATTTCCGTGTCATCCTTATAGTCTGTCATTTGTAATTCTACTTGCAACTCAGTCTCAATTTTATCAAGTAAAATGTGTTCCGTAATATCTTCTAGACACCATTTTTCCAGAAGCAGATGTTTCTGTCACTAATGACAGAGGGCTCTGACACTATTAAAATTCATTTCTGAGTCCTTTGTTCAAAATTATCCTTGCACATGTCCAATGTTAGAGTATCTTGTTTCATTCTGTAAGCCCAGTTTAAATGTTATTCTCTTTTAATTGCAACATTTGGTTTCCTTCTAGTATCCTCTGCTATCCAATATTTAAAGTCTTATTATATATATATTTTTAAAGAAGGATTCAAAACTAAAGCATTTTCCCCCCAGGAAGGATTCTTGCAATTCCAAAATCTGATTTCAAATTTCTCTGGACCCTTTAGTCCATTGGTAACTTTTTTAAAAAAAAAAATCAAAGTTTTAAAGCTTTTACGGTGTATTAAAAAACTATTTATTAAAAAATAATCATAAACTTGGATTTTTAAAACTTCTTTCAGTAAAGATTGAAAGAAAAAAAAAGCTCACCCGGTGCTTTAAAAATGGTCGTTCCAAAGCTTCCTAGTGGTTGGAAGGCTTTTAAGAAGCAATTTCTGAAAGTAGTTAGAAAAGGAGGTATGTGAACCCAGTGTCCTTTTAAAGACACTGACCATGGTTTGACTAAGACAGCCACCCTAAACTCGTCAGAGACCACTGTCTTGCGATCTTCTCATGAAGAGCAACTGTCTGGAGCGCTTATGGGTAATCTCAAGTCTTTTCCCAGTCCAGAGAGGAATTCTTTATTCCCCCACCGTTGTTCTCTCCTCTTTTTGTGGAGATGTCTTCAATCCACCATTTCTTCTTCTGGAAGCCCAGGCGTGCCTCAATATCGGTGAGGAAGAGAGAAATCTCACATTCTAGGAAAACTTTAGCCGTTTCCGATATATTATATTTAACCTTCCATGAAACTTAGTCTTCAGATGGATGTATTCCGAGAAGCAATTTGGACCCAGCAAAGGGCTAGGCCTGATCTTTCCCTAATATATCTTTTCCATCTTTAATCTTCGTAATAGTGATTGATTATTAAAATGCATTTTTATTGAGGTCTGATGTAAAAGGGTGGCATAGATATTCATCTTGGAGATTAGCTGATATTTAATTTATAAATGATTCTAAGCCATAAAGTCCCTCTAACTTTTCAGACAGCATTACTTTCTATAAAATATGAACAGAATTTGTAGCTCAGTTCCACCCCCCCTTTTGTTCTTTGCTCACTGCTCAATGCTAGGAAATAGCCAGAGTTGGCTTCACTACAAGCACACGTCCGCACACCATTATACCAAAGGTCTTCTACCACCTTTAAAGTATTCCTATTACACTTATGTGGTAAGACATAAGAATGTAGTTCTTGTTTTCTCGTTTCATCAATTATTTGGTCATAGAGCCAATAATTACATTCTTTATATGTTCTTTCAGGGTCGTTGTTCGAATATACCAAATTTAGAATGCAGTTAAGCATCTTGCATGGGAAAACAAACTATGTGCGTGGATACATTTCCACAAACAGTTTTATCTTAGGACTAGAATTGCTAAGCCTACATGTTAAGCTCAACTGATGCATATAGCTAACTCCATGTAGTTTTTCTTGAGCGTAATGCCAAAGTAATTTGCCAGTATTTATTTTAGGATAGTTTAGAGTAGCAGTACAGTCTGGTATTCTGGTATATTTGACTCCTGATTAACTTCCAAGTCTGGATTAAAACCAATATGGTCATCTTCTCTGCTGAGAATCAATGGAGCTTTGGATTTACTTAGCCACTTCACAAAGATTTCTCCTTAGTTTTAAGTTGGTTCTCTCCTTGATTGGTGTCCATCCATTGTTTCTTGTCCTGCCCTCAGGTGCTTTGGAGAATAAATTGACCCCGTCTTCTTTGGGGCAGCCCCTCGAATATTAGAAGACGCTGTCTCATCTCACCCCTAGTCCTTCTTTTTTCTAGACTGGCCAAACCCAAATCTTGCAGACATGCTTCATATGTTTTACTCTCCAGACCTTTAATCATCTTTGTTGCTCTTCTCTGCACTCTTTCCAGAATCTCAACATCTTTTTTTACAACGTGGCGACCAAAACTGGATGCAGGATTCCAGGTGTGGCCTTACCAAGGCATCATAAAGCGGTACTAACACTTCATGTGATCTTGATTCTCTCCCTCTGTTAATGCAGCCTAGAAGTGTGTTGGCTGGCTCCTATTCAAGTGATTGTCCACTAGGACTCCAAGGTCCCCCTCACAGTTGCTACCTATTCTATACCTGTGCATTCTGCTGCCACATTCTGCGCCAGTTGAAGTCCTCAAAGGCATCCCATGTAAAAGACATTGCAGTCCTCCATACGGAAGGTCACGAGAGCACGGGTGAGGTTGAGTAGGGTCTCCTGGTCCAGGAAGGTGCAGAACACGGCCTCCTAGTCAAGGCTGCCCCCCCTGCTCTTCCTCTTCTTCACATCCCTCCTTCTCCAAACCAGCCTTCCCAAACAGCTGAGCCCAAGTGCCCCGAAAAGACCGTCAGTTTCCCCCCTATATCCTTCCAGCCTCTTCTAAAGGACCCTTCACTGGGATCCTCTCTCCAGGCCGCAGCAAAGAAAACTACAAGGTCCTCCAGGACTAGCTCCCCAGTTCACGCAACAGCCAAGGTCTCGCACTGCGGCTCCTTCTGCCACGTTATGCTGCCAACACTCTTTAAGAGAATCAGGAAAAAAAGTGTGGTATGCATCATTGCAGCCCATAATGACATTTTAAACAGTGACCTCTACCAAAGACGTTGAAATCACTAGGAAATATCTTTCAACTCTCAGGATGCAAAAAAAAAAAAAAAAATTATGCGGAGGTTGCAGAAACCTAGTGTAAAATTTAATTTGTGGAAACTTTTGCTGTTTCCCCAAACTCCACACACACCCCCCCCACCTCTCTCCTTGCAGACACTCTTCTGACTGAAAAAACAGACATTTTGAAGGGAGGCTGTTAGATTAATTCCCATCTCCTATGCGTGCCTGAGGCCATGGTTTAGAATGGCGTCCCCTTCCCTTCGGAGAGGCACTCCGGACTTTCAAAGGACACGGCAGACAAGCCAAGACGTTTTCTGGAGGAATCCATCTTGTCTGAATGACTGTCTTTTTAAAAACAACAACAACAACAACACAACATTTAACCTATTCTGCACTTTTGGAAATCACTTTAGTGATCTGCAACTGGATTCAGAGAGAACACCCCCCCAATTAATACGTGGACTAATAATAATAATAATAATAATAATAATAATAATAGTAGTAGTAGTAAAGTTGGAAGGGACCTTGAAGGTCATCTAGTCCAACCCCCTGCTCAGGCAGGAAACCCTATACCATTTCGGACAAATAGGCTGTCCAGTCTCTTCTTAAAAACTTCCAGTGTTGGAGCATTCACCACTTCTGGAGGCAGCTTGTTAATAATAATAATAATAATAAAGTTGAAAGGGACCTTGGAGGTCATCTAGTCCAGCCCCCTGCTCAGGCAGGAAGCCCTATCCCATTTCAGACAAATGGCTGTCCAGTCTCTTCTTAAAAACTTCCAGCGTTGGAGCATTCACCGCTTCTGGAGGCAGATTGTTCCACTGGTTAATTGTTCTCACTGTCAGGAACTTTTAATAATAATAATAATTCCAATTCCATGTTTTTGCATTAAGACTTTTCATCTTTATAAATTTGGCATTACATGGGGGAAAGGAACTATGAGTCTTGATGATCCTAAATGATCAAACCTTGTAGGGTTGTTTTTTTTTCCCTCTCCACATTTCTTTGGACATTTCTTCCCTTCCAGTTTGCAACCATCTGAATTCGTGTGAATGAGGAAAACAAGGGCCATTTAACATATTTTGTTATCTGAGGACAGATCGGCCCGTTCTGGGAAACCTGGAGCCGCCCCAATAAATATCAGCCTTGTGTCAAAATCCTCCATGTTTCCTTTCTTTTGCTCTCTGCAACATATATTAACAGCTTCTCAATCCCTCACATCCTTGCGCTCCGCTGTTATTTATCCCAACAGATGGGGAGAAAATAAGCGAGGTCTAACAACATCGTGGATGACCCGTACAGACACAATTTGGAAGATAACTTGACGTGAATCGGATCTTTTTATTTATTGGTTCTCGTTGTGCATAATGTTGCCTTCACCGATACGTAAAGCCTTGCAGTGGCTCTTCATGTCCTTGAAGGCCGTGCATAAGGTTCTCCTGATCTTATATTTTAAGCTCTTTTTTTATGCAAAACATCCCCCTCCAAGAACAGCACCAGCCAAACAGAATTTAGCCATCAGCCACGTCACAACGTCTCAATTTGAAACAAGCACGGTTAAAAACGATTTTTCTACAAATCCTAAAAATAAAAAAATAAAAACTTGCAGGCAGTCCTCAGCTTACGATCACAAAATGAGCCCCAAATTTCTGTTGCTACGAGATAGTTGTTTAAGTGAGTTTTGCCCCATTTTACGGCCTTTTTTCCCCACAGTTGTTAAGTAAATCTCTTAACAGTTCTTCAGTTAGTAACATGACTGTTAAGCGAACGCAGCTTCCCCCTGTTGATTTTGCTTGTCAGAATTTCACCAAAAGGGGGTCACGTGACCTCCCCCCCCCCAGGGACCCTGCAAACCATCATAAAATGAGTAACATGGTTATTAAGTGAATCTGGCTTCGGTACAAAGTTGCGACGGCACTGAAAAAAATTGACTTATGACCTTTTCTTCACTCTTACGACCGTTGCAGCGTCCCCCGTGGTCACGTGATCAAAATTCGGACGCTTGGCAACTGGCCCGTGTTTATGACGGCTACGTTGTCCCGGGGGGGCCACGTGACCCCCTTTTGCGACCTCCTGAAAAGCAAAGTCAACGGGGAAGCCAGATCCACTTACTAACTTAACAACTTCAGCGATTCACTTAACAGTCAAGAAAAGTCATCAAAGGGGGCTGTTTTGCTTAGCCACATAAACTTTGGCCTCAGCTGTGGTCAGGGGTCACCTATCCTTGGCACAGTTCTTTTGTGTGGCTTTTCGCTGCAAATGTAGGGAAGACTTAAGTACAGAATGGAAAGGAAACACTCAGGTCACCTACTAGCTCTCTTACATAGAAGTTTTTCTGAGTGGGGGGGCTGTTGTTTGTGATGTCTCCTTTGGGCAAACTCCCCAGATGTCTGCTCGCGGGGAGGTTGAGCCCATTCTTGACCTATCAGGAATGGAGTTGATTGATGGCTCTGAGGAGGCTTCAGCTGGGCAAAGCAGGCAGTTGCAGACGGTCAGTGAAGAAGAGGAGGAACTGCCTCCTGCGCCTGATCCGAGAACACCAGGGCAGAGAAAAGGCAGGAGCAGCAGAGGCCAGTCAGACTACTCCAGAGAAGAAAGCCTTGCCCTTCTTGAAGGTCTGCACTGGAGAGCTGGCTATTTATCCCGGCGGACAGAGGGAAGCGTTGCTGGGAACAATGTGTTGGTTTTCCAGATGTTCTGTTTGATCGCGGTGTTCCCTGTTTCGCTCTGGATGGACCCCGTGTTTGGAATTGTGCCTTGGAGCCTCCGAACTTTTCTTGCCTCTTGAGCTTTACGTTTTGCCCGGTGGAGTTATTTTGCTTGAGTAACTTTCAAGTGCCTTGTGTACTAGCAGGCTAACCTGTGGACTAACCTTGGCTTGCTCGTGGCTGGACTTAATTAGGGCAGTTTTGAGTTTTGGGTGAAGGGAATTGCTGGGGAATATTAATAAAACTCACCAAGCCACACCGATACGTGCGTGTGAGCGAGCGAGCGACTGGGGCAGCACATCGTCTGAACTAGCGACGCGAAGTATTTCACTTGTATGTATTCACTGCGTGTCAAAAGTGTGACGATCGTTTTGTTTTCAACCAGGAGGCTGGGATGCAGATGAGAAAGGCCCCAGCGTCTGGGACACGTTCACCCACCAGGGAGGAGATCGAGTTTTCAAGAACCAGACCGGCGACATAGCTTGTGGCAGCTACTCTCTGTGGGAGGAAGATTTGAAATGTATCAAACAGCTTGGGTTGACTCATTATCGTTTTTCTCTTTCCTGGTCACGTCTGTTACCTGATGGGACGACAGGTTTCATCAACCAGAAAGGCAATTGTTCCTTCAAAATAGAAACTGGTGCTGCCTTAATTCAAGGTTATTGCCGCAGTCTGGCACAATTAAGCCGGCGTTCGAGTCTGCAGTGCAGATTTGAAATGGCAACTTCGTTCGTGGCAATTATGGGATTTATATGTTAAAAAATAATAATAATAATCTCGGCCTAATTAATATTCCAGCGTACTTCTGAGGATGTGATCTTTAGAGATGAGGTTAGAGTTAGGATATTATTACTTCACTGTTTGCTTTGGTTTTTTTTTTTAATACCGGCCGTCAATAGATATTTCTTTTCCGCACCGAGGATGCTAGGAGCATTGTGCAGAAATTCCTGAGTTAAACATAAAAGACAGCACAGGGCACAGAAAAAAAGGAAGTGGCAATGGATGTCCTGAGATGGGGAGAGAGGAAATAAAAAGGCCCAAGTATCAAAAGTGCAATGTTTGGTTGGATCTGCTAATGGAATTTCCCTCCAATGGGATTTTCCCATGTATTTTACCAGGAAACATAGATAAGGGCAGCCTAGAAAAGTCAGTGCCCTCCTAACCATACCCAAGCACTCCGAGTTTGTTGGCGATGTCCATTTTGCTCTATGAGTTCATGGTGACCTAACCCTAACCCTAAGTGGAATTTTCCTCCAATGGGATTTTCCCATGTATTTTCCCAGGAAAGATAGATAGGGCAGCCTAGAAAAGTCAGTGCCCTCCTAACCATACTCAAGCATTCCCAGTTTGTTGGCGATGTCCGTTTTGCCCTATGAGTTCATGGTGACTTAACCCTGACCCTAAGTGGAATTTTCCTCCCATGGGATTTTCCCATGCATTTTACCAGGAAAGATAGATAGGGCATCCTAGAAAAGTCAGTGCCCTCCCAACCATACCCAAGCACTCTGAATTTGTTGGCGATGTCCATTTTGCTCTATGAGTTCATGGTGACCTAACCCTAACCCTAAGTGGAATTTCCCTCCAGTGGGATTTTCCCATGTATTTTACCAAAAAACATAGATAGGGCAGCCTAGAAAAGTCAGTGCCCTCCTAACCATACCCAAGCACTCCGAGTTTGTTGGCGATGTCCATTTTGCTCTATGGGTTCATGGTGACGTAACTCTAACCCTATAGGTTTTCCTGCTTGAGCAGGGGGTTGGACTAGAAGACCTCCAAGGTCCCTCCCAACTCTGTTATTCTGTTAAGCAGTGGAAGGACTTGCTTCCAGAAGCTGTGGGTGCTCCATCACTAGAAGCTTTTAAGAAGAGACCAGACAGCCCTCTGTCAGAAATAGTATAGGTCTCCTACGAGACTAGATGGAGGTTGGGTTACATGACCTCAAACTCTTATTTCTGTTAACCTGTGCTGTTTCGGGTCCTATCTGTAGCAATACTTATTGCTATGGCTTCAGCAAGATTTAGCACGCGTGAAATAACATTTCGACCCCAGCTTCCACTTCAAGAAACGTCAGAAGAGCCCTGGAACTGGATCAAGTCCCAGGTTTATCACAGCTAGCATTCGGAGTCACCCTGTGGCCCACTGGATGCATCTGGACGCCCACCAGCCTGGACTAGAGGACAAGAAATCTTGTTGCTTTCTAGCAGCCAGTTGTAAGGCCTACTGCGTAACTCAAGAAGGAGTCAGCAGCCATGAGAATTAGGAGTCGTAGCTAGCTGGACTTTCCACCAACTTGAGTAGCCCCCGTTGAAAGGTTTATCAATCCTGGTTCAAAGATCTTTTTTCTAGCAAGATCTGCTCTTTAATTCCTAAAAGGCTTTGTGGGATGGCGAGCAGGAAAGGCAGGAAGAACAAACAAGGCATGGTGTCCCTGGGGTATGTGTGTGTGTGTGAGAGAGAGACATTTCAACGGTGGGGCCAAGGAGACCCTCCTTCCCTCCCTCTTTTGACCCTCTTCATCCGTGAAGCTCTCTAGTTAGGGAACTTTTTGCCAGAAAACCCAGAGATTTATTTATTTTTTAATCAGTAGAAAACCTCAATAAATGGCAGCACTTTGCAGATAGAAATCAAGATAGCCTTTGCCGGTTGACAGCACGTCAATCCAGAAGAGGTGATACGGGTTGGGTTGTTTTTTTTTTATGCCGGAGCAACGGGACACGTTTAATAGACCTATTTCTAAGACCCCCGTCAGCAACCTCGCCCTGTTTACCAATCCGGTCGTCATCTTTTTGAAGGAAAAAAAAATATCCTCCTGCTTTTTGGTTCTCATCGTAAACATTCTGATTAATATTATGAACTTTAAATTTATCAAAAGGGCGCCGGGAACTCTTCTAGGAAGGCTGGTTTTTCATTACCCAGGATCTCGCTTCTCCTGAGCAGTGATCTGTTGAAACAATTGAAGCCGCCAAGTTTGGAAAGGCCACGCTCCCATCTACATTTGGTGGGGTGCTTTGGGTTTTTTTGGGGGGGGGGGGTTTGCAAAAGAGCAGGAAGAGAATTAAAAATCTCGGCGCAGTGTCCTTTTTAAGCATCACATGAGCTGATTGATTACCTGTTTGGCATCTAAAATAAAAGACATCTCGCTAGTCTTTTTTTTTTCTTCCAGTTGTCTTCCAAGACTTTATTAAAAGTGTCGTGTTTATTTTTAAACATCACTGAAAATATTTTAAATTAAAACTTTAATGGAGCCAAGTTGAACCTATCTTTTGCAAAGGTAATCCTCTATGGAAAAAAAATGCTGGAGATGTCATTATCCCTGATGGCCATCATCTTTAGCACTTAGCAATAGCCCTTAGACTTATATACCGCTTCACAGTACTTTACAGCCCTCTCTGAGCGGTTTGCAGAATCAGCATATTTGCCCCCAACAATCTGGGTCCTCATTTTACCGACCTGGGAAGGATGGAAGGCTGAGTCAACCTTGAGCTGGTCAGCATCAAACTTGAAGGAAGGAAGGAAGGAAGGAATAGCCCTTAGACTTATATACTGCTTCACAGTACTTTATAGCCCTCTCTAAGTGGTTTACAGAGTCAGCCTGTTGCCCCCAACAATCTGGGTCCTCATTTTACCGACCTGGGAAGGATGGAATGCTGAGTCAACCTTGAGCCAGTCAAGATCAAACTCCAGACTGTGGGCAGAGTTAGCTTGCAATACTGCACTTTCCAGCCACTGTGCCACCACGACTCCTTTAATACTTCGGTTCTTTAGTCCCCCTGCATTCTAGTAGACGGGGAATGCTGTAGATACAGTATATCTTCATTTCAGCAAAGCTAGTTATGAAATTTCTCACGCTATCCTTGTGACAAGTTGACAAATTCATGGGTTGGATTTTAGCAATAGTAATAGCAATCGCACTTAGACTTATATACTGCTTCACAGTGCTGCTTTACAACCCTCTAAGCGGTTTAGAGAGTCAACAGGTGGCTGCGGCCGTGTTTCTGCCAATATTGAGGTTTTGTGGGAAAGTGAATTTGGCGAAGTGAGGGACAATAACAAGGGGTCCGTAAGGAACTCAACCGATCGGTTGCAAAGTAGTAGGAAGGTGTGCCTCTGGAAGGCTTCTCTGGAAGCCCATGCAGCATCTGGTGGCATCTTGTTGCATCCGAAGGTAGATTAAAAACAGGACGGCTGGCATGCTTGAAGTAAGGCCAGCCATATGGTACAGCTGTGAGAGCAGAATTACCTGAATACCCAGCACTGCCTGGATAAAGATAATGCAGAACAAGACATCTGGCCCTTGTGTGGCTGTCTCTGTGTGCGCATGTGTGTGCTTAAATGTTTATTGCGGGTGAACAGAAAGCTGGAAAAATTAAAAAAAAATAGTTCTGTGTTAATTGGTGTTAATCACCAGGTGCTTTCACACACAGGAGATATTGCTTGGAAATAGGCTGATAATTAAATAAAACAGACTTGGGCTGGGTGAGGTTTTGGCTTTGATTCCAAAAAAAAAAGGAATCGGACGAATAAAGCAACAGAGCGCAACCTTTTAAAGCAGCTATGTCTTCTTGGGATTATATGGCTGTCCTTGCAGTAGCCCCATGTCTCTAGGGAATGAGGTAGCTGCTTTAAAACACTGGGGACACTTTTTATGTGTAGAGTACCATCTTTTGGGAATCAAAGCCAAAACAGCTCTAAATGCTGTAGAGATAAGTCCCAAAGGTGCTTTTTCAAGAGGCAACTGGACTTTCTTGTTTTTCTTTGAAGACCTTTCACTCCTTATCCCAGAAGCTTCTTCAGTTCTGACTGAATTGGTGGGGAATGGAAGGATTTATACTCCTTGCAGACAGCTGGTCATTTGCCTCCTTTTAGAGAGTCCTTGAGGCCACGTGGACCTTGAGGACACAGACAGACCTCCAAGTGGCCTCAAGGACTCTCTAAAAGAAGGCAAATGACCAGCAGTCTGCAAGGAGTATAAATCCTTCCATTCCCCACCAATTCAGTCAGAACTGAAGAAGCTTCTTGGATGGGAAGCGAAAGGTCTTCAAAGAAAAACAAGAAAGTCCAGTTGCCTCTTGAAAAAGCACCCTTGGGACAACCATGACCCGGATGACTGAGAATCTCCATATGGAGTTAAGTCTTTTTCTATATTATGTCCATTCCGTGGCGTTCTCATAGGCTGGTGGACCAGCTGTTATAGAATATGATAAACTCTTGACCTGATCCTTCAGGGCTCATCACTGCAAGTCTCTGTGCGCTCACGTTAAGCACATCGCTGGCTCTATTTCCACCCTCCTAATAGGTCAATAATAAGGTTAGCCTGCCTGTTTTTAAAAGGCTCAATTTGGGAAAGGGAGCGAGGCTGAAGGAATGAGAGAGAATAGTGAGGACGAGCAACGTGAAAGGAACAAATGCTGATCTCACCAACCTTTTGGCCTTCTCTTCCTCAGGAGTTCATTATTACAACCAAGTGATCAATGGGCTGCTCTCCATCGGCGTCACCCCGGTGGTGACGCTGTATCACTTTGACTTACCTCAGCATTTAGAAGACCAAGGCGGCTGGAGATCCGACGCCACAGTGGAGGCGTTTAACGCGTATGCCCAGTTCTGCTTCCAAACCTTCGGGGACCGGGTGAAGCTGTGGATCACCATTAATGAACCGCACGTTGTTGCTGTGTACGGCTATGAAAAGGGAATTATAGCGCCGGGTGTCTCCATGCCCGGTATCGGTGCCTATCTGGCAGCCCACCATATGATCAAGGCTCATGCCGAAGCTTGGCACACTTACCACCAACTCTTTCGGGAACAACAGGGTGGACTTGTGTCCATAGCCCTCGACTCCGATTGGGCCGAACCCTTCGATCCGACTTCCCTCGCTGACCGGGAAGCTGCCAAGAGGCATATCGCGTTTTCCTTGGACTGGTTCGCCACCCCGATCTTCCTCCACGGCGACTATCCGGCTATGATGAAATCGAAGATTTCTACTGCGTGCACGGAGCCAGGCTCTCCGTCTTCACGGCTTCCTGAATTTACCGAACGAGAGAAGGCCAGGATCAAAGGCACGGCCGATTTCTTTGCCCTCAATTATTACACCGCCCGCAAAGTTAAACACTCGGATCACAAGCCTGGCCAGCCGAGTTTGTCTGCAGACAAAGAAGCCGAACAAATCATAGATCCATCCTGGCCTGTGGCAACTGGGAATTCTTGGCTGGCAGTTGTCCCCTGGGGTTTACGGCGGCTGTTGACGTACATCAAGGTGATGAATTCTACTCTTGCTTTTCTCTTGCTAACCACTTCTCTTTGCGTGGAGAAGCAGGCTCAGAGGGAATTCAGGTAGACCTCCACTTACGACCTCAGCTGGCCCCAAAATTTCTGCTGCTAAACAAGACAGTTAGGTGAGTTTCGCCCCATTTAATGCCCTCCCTTGGACCGTTGTTAAGTGAATCACTGTACTTGTTAAGCGAGTAACACGGTCATTAAGTGGATCTGGCTTCCCCATTGACTTTGCTTGTCAGAAAGTCGCCAAAGGGTCAGGGTTAATGTCTACACGCCAATCACCAAGCAACCAAATCTGAATTTTGATCAGGTGACCGTGAAGATGCAGCAACGGCCGTAAGGGTGAAAAAAAGTCATACGACATCACTTTTCTCAGTGCTGCTGTAACTTCAGACGGTCACTAAACGAATTGTTATAAGTCGAGGACTACCTGTAGTAAGAAAGGCAGCTGAACCCCAAAATTTCCTTCATGAAAATCAATCAGAATAGAGCTGGGCGGGACCTTGGAGGTCTTCTAGTCCAGCGCCCCGCTCAAGCAGGAGACCTTATACCATTTCAGACAAGTGGCTGTCCAGTCTCTTCTTAAAAACCTCCAGGGATGAAGGACCCACAACTTCTGGAGGCAAGGAGTTCCACTGGTTAATTGTCCTCACTATCAGGAAGTTTCTCCTTAGTTCCAGGTTGCTTCTCTCCTTGATTAGTTTCCATCCGTTGCTTCTTGTCCTGCCT